CTTGTAACGATTCTCACAAAGTCCTTATTGAAAACTGTCCAAATTCCCAAATTGGACAGTTTTCAGAAATTAAAGGAGTAATACACTAATTTGTAAGTATGATTTACTTGGTACATACATTGCAACCTCTGAGAAGCTTCGCTGCCAGGCTTTCCCCGATAGCATCTCTAAAGCCATTGCTTTCTGCATCACTGAAATCAACCACGATTTCCTCCAGAGCTGATCCCATTTTGAAGTCAGGGTGATCTGTAGTTGTTTTCTTAAAAACCTCTTTGATTGCCGTTGCATAGGTACCCCCATCTTGTCGGTTCAACAGGACACGCGCGACAGCATTGTCTGCATGCATAAATCAAATTAGTTGAATGAAAGTTTGTAAGCAATCAAAAAGAACTGACACATTTTGAGAAATGATGACCCTATAGCTTTATTTCTATTTTATAGAAAAGAGACGATAAAAAGAAAAGCCTTTTGCAGAAGTAAATTTGACTCTGTTTCATCTTAGCAAAATGAACATCAAGCAGAACATTAACTTTCTTGTCCTCTTAAACTTGTATATACTTTTCCTTTGCGCGGGGTTAGCAATAAACCATGGGCTTGAGAAGGGCGCATAAAAAAGAGAACTTGAAGATAAACTTACACTGTAAGCTGTCTTCGTTGAAAGCCACCATGTTGAGTAAATACGGGAAATCATTGCTGCCAGTGTAAGTAATGTCTGTAAATATCACTTTCGTGCAGCTTAATTGCTTTAGCTGGAAAGGAGACGCAAAGAATGCCATGTTTCGTTGAGGGGTAAAGATGTACTCCAGTCCTGCCATTTGATAATTACCCACAAGTTCCTCTACTTCCCTGACAAATTCGTCTTCGCCTACGAAACAAATACACGGAATATGTTCATATTTGCGTCTACTGTTTTGTAAGAGTCTATGTCTTCTCTTACATGGTTCCTCTCCGAATATGGGTTAACAGATCTTCTCAATATTCAACTCTACAATTGTAAAAACTTACATTTAGTCTCTTCGTCCACCTTCTTTTTGATCTTTGGAAACTGCTCGATAATGAAGAGTACTCTCGAGCTTCCGCTGACATCTGTCGAATGTTGGCTTAAAACTTTTTTCCTCTCCCTCCTTATGCGATCAATGTTGAGAGCTGCGGCACTGTTCTCCCCAGGTATATACTCCATACCCTGACCTGCAACATTGAAAATGAACTAATATAAAGAGAAACAATTTTAAATCCGGAGTGACTTTATAGAAATACCTTAGAGATAGGTTCTTGCTTTGTTTCTGTGGTTGATGTAACTCAAATTCATTCCACCTGAATGTAATGTAATGTAAGCTTGAACGAGAATCTGTCTTTCCGTACGTCTCAGTGGCTTGTAACCATGAGGCCTCTTTTTGGTTTCTAACTTATTCTTTTGAGGTTTTAAATCTGGAGATAAACAATGGAATGTGCCGATCATTTGAATAAAAGAGTTACATAGAAACTCTCAGAACGAATTACAGCGTAGATATACGAGAGAAACATATAATAGACTTTGAACTATCGTAACAATACAAGCATACAGTAACCTTTCAATAAATCCTTGGAAGTCTTAGTGATGTCCTGATGAACTGTTTGTTGAATGTCTTCAACCACTTTGCTCGAGATCTTGTGTTCGGCAGGTCTTGAATGATTATGCTTCACCTCTCCTTCGGCTGAAAAAACTCCGATCCATCTGCGATCATCCGTACTAATAGTGGGCCAAATATAAACAAAGTGAATAGGACATTTTCCGGTTCTTGTTAATGGTTTGGAGGAACCATGCTCCTTGCATTTGTTCCTTAACTGCGTATTTGCCACCGTGTAACCACATTTGTCAGCGCTGCATACTTTTACCCCTTCACAAGGTCCTCTCTTTACAAAGACTTCTGTTTCCACTCCATCGACCTCAGTTAGCACTTTTTGCTTTTGCGAGCCACGCGTTGTTAGCTGGTTATCCTCAGAAATAAAGTGAACCCTGTTTTTGGCTGCATACGGGAGTGTTTTAAAATCTTGGGTGAACATCAACTTTCCATTATTTTCAGAAAAGCCTGGAAACTCGTAATCTTCTCTTTTCTTGATGTCCACCCAGCTGCTTTTATCTTTTAAGAGTTTCCTAACTTTTGGTAGGAAATGAACTCCTCTGCTAGTGGTGGACTTGACATTGTTTCTGCTGTTTGATTTCTTATTTGGGTTGAAAGGATCTACCGATGGATCAAGAACGGAGATGTCGTACGGTTTTTGCACGAAGCATTTGCCTTTCACGGATGCAACATAGCGCCTTGACGTTTTATAAAAATTGTTGAACAAAGAGACTTTGTATGCTATGTCTACAAAACCTAGAGCAACACATTGCCTTAGCGCCCTGCTCCACCAGGTGGTATCATGTCCCATGCCTGATCCATACGTGGCAGACCCTTCAATGATAGGTTGCACGTCTCCTTCCTTTAACCAGTCCTGATTAGAACCTCGAATAAACGAGACAAGTTTCCCTTCGTTTACTCCGTCGCTGAATCTAGATAAGCCACATAATTCCTGAATTGCATTTATAACCGTCGTAGCTGTTTCCTTGCCGTTCATCTTCGGTTGATTTAATTGTTCTTCTTGGCAACTGTCACAACATTTATCGCCTGACAGAACGCTTAACTCCTCTGGATTATCCCCAAATGCTTTGACGAATTGTTTTCGAAGGCATTGACCGATATAAATTTGATACACGTACCTCCACACTGACAGGAAGTCCTGTTCTTGTTTTTCCTTCTCTTGGTCTGAACATCCTCTTGTCCAGTAACCAAACCGTTGATCGTCTTTGTTTTCGTTAAAAAGCAGAACAAAGTGGCCATTATTTTCCTCTCTAGCCGCCCTACCAAGCTCTTGCCCAACGGCCCTCATGTTACGTGCACAACCAACCCTTATTACAATATTGACATGTGGAGAATGTGTACCGAGTTCGAATGACTCAGTTGCAACTAAAACTTGAATTTCTTTGTTCCTGAAGGCCCTTTCGATCTCGACCTTTGCCGACACTGTCATGTCTCTGCCATGATATCCTTTAGCTTCTTCCACACCACACGCCTTTAAAGATTCCACCATCTTTTCTACGTCGTTTTTGAAATCAACGTAAACGATCGCGTAGTTTTCTCCAACCAACGAGTATATCTCCTGTGCAACATCTTTCCAAGGCTGACCCTTTTGTTTGGAACCACTTTCAGAACTTTCGCCTCTTTTTCCTCGGTCTGCGACAACTTTGTACTTCCCGAGCGACAGTTTAACGTTTGGGCGATCGACAGTTCCTTTAACAAGTACGGGATCTCGCAAGTATTCTGTGCATAGTTTATCTAAGGACACACGGTCAATGGTAGCGGTCAAAGCTGCAACTGGTGTTGCAGGAAACTTAGCATGAATTTCCTTGAGCGATTCGTAAGATTGTCGAAACCCTGAGTTCCTGTCAAATATTTTGTGTGCCTCGTCCAGTACTACCATTTTTATCTCATCTCTGTGTTGCGCAAAAAAGTGCATGTGTTTGGAAAAGCACTCTGGTGTCATGTAAACAAGCGATGGTTTTTCCTTCTCTTTTTCATCTAGCAATGCAATGTAATTAGCCTTCTCCTTCCCAAAGGATTACCAAAGGGAATTGCGTTTATACCCTTTTCCTTTAATTGATTTACTTGATTCAATATTAATGAGATTGTAGGAGAAATTACGATAGTGAACTTGAATGTAGAGAACAAAGCAGGGATCTGATACACAAGGCTCTTTCCACTTCCAGTCCGCTGAATGACCACCACGTCATTTTTTTTCTCCACTGCATTAATGGCTGCAATTTGGAAATCACGGAAAGATGTCAATCCGAATTTGGTGAGATAACCTTTCCACAAAATGACTTCGGTTTCACTTGGTTGAAGAACGCTTGCTGGACTTTTGTAGTTTTCCTTTCTTTGGGATTGAATATGGCTTTCGTCAATCGCATTCGTTTCCTCCGTTTCCTGCGAATTCTCGAAATCTTCAATAGCCGACAATAAGACTTCATTGTCATCACTTATTTCGATGGTTTCGCTTTTTAAGTCAACCACAAGTAGTGATTGCGGAGCAGGAAGCCTCACAGACGACTCTATTCTTTTTCGAATCCACTTTGCCAGCTCTGTAGTTACGTTCGACAGCTGTTCCCCACGGTAGTCCGCAGAAGTTATCACTCCGTTACCATTTCCGCCAACCTCACTTGAAATTTTGTGGGTGTCTATTACTAAAAAATGATTGCACTCGTCCCCACCTGCAGTATGAACAATTGTAAATATAATTGGAGGACAAGTGTATACAGCAAACGTTCTTGACGACTTCTGTGCCATATTTCGAAGGCAGTTCCTTACTTCCTCCTCCCCTGCAACAGATTGGGCTATAAGTGAGGTGGAGAGCGATTCTTTGAATTCGTACTCACGCAAAAGAAGATGATTTGCCTGAAGAATTTCACATGCTTCGTCCACAGAGAAATGATCTCTTATGTCCCGCAACCTGTTTATTTCAGCAGGAAAGGTCGTTATGATGCTCTCAACAGCGTGCCTAATTTGCGATGTTTCACTACCGAATGCACTAAAATCGAAATTAAAAAGCGTGTCTATGATTTTCATTGTCAGGAAGGAACACGCATTTGTACCGTCTAAGGCACCGGCGTTTCCTTCCAAATCTTGCACGAATTCTCTGTCTAGTGCCCCACCACCAGCAGCGAAACCTTGAGCTAGCACTTCACTAGCTTCCTCTAGTACTTTAGTTTGGTGGCACGATAACGGTTGAATGGAAATAATGTTTGCGCCTTCCATTTCAATATCACCTTGATCGAGAGAAGTGGAAAGCGATGACTGGTCTTCCACGTCATTACCGTATGCATCTTTAATCTCGTTAAGTGATGCTGATACATCTTCCATGCTCGGTCTGTCTGAAGCATTTCCTTTCCAACACTGAGTGATTACGTTCAGAAAGGGATCTAACGGTCCACCGTCAATTTTTAGTTCTGATAACGATGAACGTAATCCCTTTTCGGCGGATGAGACAATTAGTTCAGGAATATCGCATAACCCTTGCCACGGATGAGGTTTCGATGGATGAGCCAGTTCGTAAAGGAATAGCGAGAAACTATACACATCGGATGCCTGGGTGTGCTTTGCACCAGGTCTTGCTATTTCCGGCGCGATGTATGGAACAGTGCCGACTAATCGGCGGATGTTCTCTTTTTTCACGTTTCTCCCTTGGGAGGGCTGCGACGAGGTCATCGTTAATGTTGTTTGCTTGTGTTGATACACTGCTTCCCCAAAATCGCCGATCTTTATAATCCATTCCGAGTTATCTGGTCCCCCAGAGATGAAGAAGTTGGCTGCTTTTACATCCCTGTGGATGATATTTTTTGAATGTAAGTATGATAATCCTTTAGCTCCGCTATGGGCAATATGGAGACGGATCTTCCAAGTAATGTTGTCCTCCATCTCATCGAACAACATCCTTACGTCATATACAGGTATCACTTCTCCATCGATGGTTACCCTCTTTTCCATCAATTCATATGCAAGCATGTACCTGGATTTCTCTATGCCATAGAATTTTACGACATTTTGGTGATCAAGCTGTTTAAAGAGTTCTACTTCCTTTTGTATAGAACGTTTGGTACCTCTCGTGACCGCGACAGCTGACTCTTTAAGAGCAATCGGAATGTCATTGTATTTCCCGAAGGAAACCAAAGAGCCCTTGTACATTTTACAAGTTGCACCAACCGCGAAATGTTTCTCGTCAACTTTCACTTGGTCCTGAGCGAGGAAAATGTCTTCACCTCCTCCCCTTAGCTTAATACCTATGAACAAATATAGACATATTTCGGACGCCTTTACATTGGGGTTTAAAGCGTGACATATTTAATAAAATAATTGGCTAGATGGACTTCTTTCCTGACCGTTAACACGTTATTTCATGAACAGCAACACCAAACCTGTTGGGCAATTGAAAGCTAATATTTTGGCCTGCAAATGCAGGAAAATGCTTGATATATTATTTTTAAATTTTGTCAACATTAATTTTTTGTTATCACCTGGAACATGGTCCACATTATAAAAATATCAAGTTGAGGATTAAACCTAGAAATATCCACTCTCATGGAGGTTCTAAGTGAGCGATGTTTCCTCGAAGTTTTGCCTTGGAGACACAATGCATAAAGAAATATTATGTGGCTGAAACTGGTTTGAAACTGGCATCCAACTGTATCTCTTTTAAGGCTGGTTTTCACTAGCGACGGAGTCGAAGTCAGAGTCGTAAGAGAGCTTACGACTGTGAAAATCGAAAATCGGAGTCGTAAGCGGAGTCACAAGCTCGCCGAAACCGGAGTTGGAAGAGTCAAAACGATTCCATTTCTTACGATTCCGTCTACGACTCGTTTTGTTTGTACATCTACGAGCCCTTTCGATCAATTTTTCGTATCAAATACAAACTCTAGGCAGTTGAGTTAATTGTGGGGGGGGAGAGTGCGCTATTTTCAGCATCACTTGCCGTACACACTTTGTATATGTATGCTGGCCATTACATGGAAGGTTTATGTTATAAATGGTCCTACCTGGAGGGCATAGCGGCTGCTTTGGCGGGCGAAAAGCGCCAGGAATTTCACCCCGAGCGTTTGGAGAAAACAGCTTACATGTTTTCTTCGCCATTTCTTTCGTAGGATGCGCAACATCAACTTTTGAATCTAGCCACCTGGCCCAGCTGATAAGTTCATCCAAATGGTCGGTGTTTGTTTGCCGAAGTGCCCTGTTTAGGCTTCTTCCTTTCTTCGTAACCTGAAATTTTTTTTAAATAAAATTCAATAAAGATGATATAGCAAACAACTAAATGGACTCCTTCAGACACTAATTCAACGAATGAGTGAATTATTGTCTAAAAGTACGTGGTCGGTCTTTCTTGAAAAAAAAAATGAGCGAGATCTAAAAAAAAAATTGTTTAGTTATTAGAAAAAAGTAAATTTTGGTTTGATACTTGCCTCTTTTTTAATTGTAGCCTTTTGTGCGACGTGTGTTGGGTCTGTTGAGACTGCATCAACCTAGCAACGTTTAACAAAGAGCTTAGTTATTCATGGTATCTTAACCTACACGATTTGCCACAGAAGTTAATGACAAATTAGAGCGATCTCGACTTTAGTGCTGAGACGGCTTTATTTCGTTGGAACTTCTTTGCTGGATCTTAAGAAAGTCCCTACACTCAAATTGATTTTACAATTCCTTTACGTTATTCTAAACTACGCTTAAATAAGTAAGATTCAACTTAATATTCCCCACTTGTCATTCACCTCCTTGATCCTTGCACGAATTAGATATACTTGTCAATGAACAGAACTCAGTGCACCGATCACATGACTGGTATGTTAGAATCGCGAAGTTTCCTTCCGCTCTTCTATTTTTTTTCGTCTTCTCTTTTCGCACTTCTGGTGTGTCCATCTATCATTCGCTCGTTCGTTCGTTTCTTATTGTAAATTTGTAAAATCTCTCAGTCATTTCATCTCCTTTTGATCACATATGCATTAAAACAGAACTCCATATAATATATGAAAGGATAAACACCAATGTAAACCAATAACATACCGGTTGGTGAATAACACCTTAAATTCATCATGATTGGTGACATTTTCCTCGAGGACGGGGAATTTGCCTTCTCTTTAACGGTGCATTTTTTACTCCCATCCATGAACATTTGACCCACTTATTTTCCACCACCTTGGAGAATTCCGTTTTTTACTTACTGCTCCTCAGGTGGGAATGGCACTACTGGAATTGAGTGATGTACAAACCAGGTGTGTCATACCTTAAGATCCAAACCAGGCGGTAAGGCGTTAATCCAAGAGCGAACTGGAGTACGAGGATCAAATCCGCCCTTCGTTTGTTTCGGCATTTTCCTGGTAACCCCGCTACAACGTTGACTTATCTAAACGGTGTAAAAAAGAAATATTATAATTGTGTTCATTGCCTCACTCTCAAATCTGTTAGGTACTTTTAAAGAATTTTTTTTTTTCAATCATTTTTTTGTTGTTCTCGATTGCATTGGGGGGGGGGTGGGGGGCGGGGGGGTGCAACTGAGAGCGATCACTTGATACACAACTTCGTTCCAAGACCCCAAACATCCCTATCATATTTTAACGATTACCTAAATGCTGGGTCGGAATAAAGTCGGGAGTAAAACCATTCTACTACCCGAGTCAGTGATGACCTCGCACCAGGAAGAAAAGACGCCATTTTTTACCATGCTCTAAATGGGGGGAAAAGGTCTTAATTTCTAAATTTCACTAACATATTTGGTTGTCGCTTATGATAAGTTCGCCTACAAATACAGCCGTCTACATCAAATCAGCTGTGAGCAATGAGAAGCGGATGTATTCGC